GCATTTTTTGCAGGCAGAGAGGCAGCTTAATAAGTTGACTCCTACGTAAAAAGTTAGCAGGAGTTACAGCAAGTAGTTTGATATACGTGTAAGGGTATAATGGAAGGTAAGGCTAGAAAAGTAGGGTGGAGATACATAATTGGGCAAGTGCCAGATGGACCAGTCTGTACTAAACGTGACGGGGAAATATTGATAGTTTTTAAAATAGGGTGGAGTCATGATCTGGCCAATGCTTTAGGGAGATGGTTTTGGCAAGAACACAAGATAGACTGAAAGGAAGGCCACTAAGCAGGAGACTAAATAGAGCACTGCAAAAGTCTCAACCTAGGTTAACCAATACCTGACCTAGGGTAGTGGCAATAGAGCTAGAGAGGTGGGGGCAAAAGGAAGAGCCCTGTGTGGAAAGTACAGTATTTATACCTGCGCAGTCCAATATAGTGGCTCCTAGTCAAGGCTTTTTTTTTTTTTTTTTTTTTTTTTTTTGAGACGGAGTTTCGCTCTTGTTACCCAGGCTGGAGTGCAATGGCACGATCTCGGCTCACTGCAACCTCCGCCTCCTGGGTTCAGGCAATTCTCCTGCCTCAGCCTCCCGAGTAGCTGGGATTACAGGCACGTGCCACCATGCCCAGCTATTTTTTTGTATTTTTAGTAGAGACGGGGTTTCACCATGTTGACCAGGATGGTCTCGATCTCTGGACCTCGTGATCCACCCGCCTCGGCCTCCCAAAGTGCTGGGATTACAAGCTTGAGCCACCGCGTCCAGCCTGTCAAGGCTTTTTAAATGTAACTTTAATTAAAATTAAATAAGATTTAAAATTCAGGCCAGGTGTGGTGGCTCACGCCTGTAATCCCAGCAATTTGGGAGGCCGAGGTGGATGGATCACAAGGTCAAGAGATCGAGACCATCCTGGCCAACACGGTGAAACCCCCGTCTCTACTAAAAATACAAAAATTAGCTGGGTGTGGTGGCGAGCACATGTAGCCCCAGCTACTCCGGAGGGTGAGGCAGGAGAATTGCTTGAACTTGGGAGGCAGAGGTTGCAGTGAGCTGAGATCGCACCATTGCACTCCAGCCTGGTGAGAGAGTGAGACTCTGTCTCAAAAAAAAAAAAAAAAAATTCAGTTCCTCGGTTGCATTAGCTGCATTTTAAGTGCTCAATAGCTGTATGTAACTTCTGTATTGGACTATGCGGATAAAGAACATTTCCGTCATAGTGCAGTGTTTATTGGACAGTGCAGCTCACTATGCTTTAGGGACTAACTGGGCGTAGGATGAGGAAGATGGATTGGAGGTTCTGTTTGGCAGCTGAGTGACTGAGAAAGGTAGTGCTATGAACAGAAACGAGGAAGTCAGGAGGAGGAGGAGCTGGATTTAGGAAGAAAGGTGTTGTTTAGTTTCTGTCAAATACCAGGCCGGATAAAGTGCCGACACAGATGCTCAGGCATCCCTGGTGAAAGGAAAGGGCAAGGAAAGCAAAGTGCCTGCTGGGCTCTCCCAAAGCTTGTAAAGGAGCCCTGGGAGGATCTAACTGGTTTATCCCCTCCTGCACTCAGCTTCTCCTGTTTGTGCAGCTCCCTGAAGATTATGAGTGGGCAATCCAATTCCTCAACCTTTCTAAACCAGCGGTTCACATACACCATGATGAGAGCAAGCGCCCAAGGGCTTTGCTGTTTTCTTAATTCCTTGGCGCCAGCCTCAACTTTTTTCTCACAGATACTTTATGCTTCCTCTCCCCTAACCACGTTACTCACCCTTCCCCATGCTCAACCTTTGGAAAGTCCCCTTGCCCTCACTTATTTGATTACTTCCTCTCCAGCTACTGCTCACAGGGACCACACTAAACCACTGACTCCACCGCTTTTTACTTGCCTTCTCTTCCCTCCCAGCTTGGATTCCAAGGTCTATCACTATCATCACTCCCTTACATAGTACTCCTACCACTCTCATTGACTTTCCCCAGCAAAACCCAGTCCTTTAACCCCCAAACGATAGAGTGTGTCTGGAGGAGAATCCCACAACCTTGCAGAGTGGTCTCACTTTAATGTATAACCATGGGCCAGGCACAGTGGCTCACGCCTATAATCTCAGCACTTTGGGAGGCCAAGGTGGGTGGATCACGAGGTCAGGTGATCAAGACCATCATCGCTAACACAGTGAAAACCTGTCTTTACTGAAATACAAAAAAAAAAAAAAAAAAAAAAAAAATTAGCCCGGTGTGGTGGCACATGCCTGTAGTCTCAGCTACTCAGGAGGCTGAGACAGGAAAATCACTTGAACCAGGGAGGCGGAGGTTTCAGCGAGCCGAGATGGTGCCACTGCACTCCAGCCTGGGCGACAGAGCAAGACTCCATCTCAAAAAAGAAAAAGGTTTGGCCATCAACTCAAGTGGGCACTCATCGATGTCCATACTATGCTTCTCTAGTCACTTTTCCACTCTTCAAGGAAATTATTTCTCACCTTCTTCTATCACTGCATAAAGAACAGATCTTACCTCATCAATCCCAGTGAGGCAGCCAGCACTTACAGCACTCAGTGGAAACTGGGAAAAGGTCCATACATGTGTGCATGCACGTGTGTGATATATGCAAGACTGCTAAAATGCATCACCTCTCCAGGTGGAGCAATTGGAAAGTGTCCCTTCCTCCAGGCTGATGTGGCCCCAGCAGGGCACATGGCTTGGTGGACAAAACAAGGCTACATTTCAGCTCCCACCTGCCGCCTCTGCTCTGCAGGGGCCTGAGCATGCCACCACCAAATGTACTGCCTAATCTATCTGCATCTGCATCCAGACACTCTTACCTTCTCTCCAGAAACAGCATGTGAGTGCAATCCCTTACTCCTATCCTAGGCCAACCTCTTCACTTCTGTGCTAGATCCAATTGCTTCTCACCTACTTGAGGAGCCTTTTTCTTCAGTTGTTGCATTCTGTGTCATCAGTTTTACCTCTCTAAAGAATCATTCCAGCATACCAACATAAGAATAAGCATTTCCTGTCTTAAAATGCTCTCCCTTGATCTCAAGTACCCCTCTGGCTTCTGCCCTTTTCTCCTTCACAGTAAAGCTTCTCAAAAGCTGTGTAGAACACTTTCTCTTCCTCACCTCCCAACCTATTAACACACCCTAATCAGAATTTCTCCCCGATGACTCCACTGAAACTGTTTTCATCAAGGTCATCGGCAACTTCATCAGGCCAAATCCAGTGTTCAAACTCAGTCCTTATCTTACTCATTTAGCAGTATCTGATAAGACTCGTGACTTCCTCCTTCCTGAAACAATTCTCTTGTTTTCCAATGCTTCACCTCCTGGTGTTCCTCTTGCCCTGACTGGTAGCTCTTTCTCTTTTTCTACTTCATCTCCAAATGTTAGAGTGCCTCTTGGTCCTTTCCTCCAGCTACCTCCTCTCCCTATGTGATCCTAACGGGACCTAAGACTTAAAAAGCATCTATGTGCTAATGAATCCCAAATGTATCTCTCTCGACTCATGTCAATTGCTTATTCAACATCTCGGCTTGTATGTATAACAGGTACCTTAAACATAACATGTGCAAAAAAGCCTCTTGATTTCCCCATCCCCAAATCTGTGCCTCCTTTTCATTAAATGGCACCACCATCAAATCAGTCATCGGGAGCGAACCTAAGAATCAACTCTGATTTCCTTTTGTTCTTTCACATAGTATGCCCCAAATCCAAATACATTCCAATCATAATGTATCTAAATACAATAAAATAGCCTTCTTCTCATCCTGTCCGTGGCTGCCAGGCTACTTAATCCAAGCTACCGTACTGGTATCCCAAGGACATCTGTGCTTCCCTATTGTGTATTTTACACACATCAGCAAGACTAACTTTTAAAAATGTGAATCAGATGCGGTCATTCCTCGGCTCACCCTACTCCTATGGTTTCCAGTTCCTGTTATAAGGCCCGCAGGTTTCACTGGATCTGGCCACTGGCCCACCTCTCTGAGCCTAGCTGGTACTGCTCTCGGGCTGGCTGACGCTGCACAGCCACGCCGGCCTTTCACTGTTTCTGCAACATGGCAGGCATATCCCTACTTCTGGGTTTATGGCTGATTTTCTCTTAGCCTGGAAAGGCTATTCGTCCTCCCGGCCCCCGCGTTTGCGAGACTTACTCCTTCATACGGTGTGTATGGGCTCAAAGGTCTTGGAGAGGCAGTATCTGACCAGGTGTAAAGTCACCCTATCCCCTGTTTGTTTTTCTCCACACCACTTGTCACTACCTGCAGTTTTTGTCACTTGTTTGTCGTCTGTATCCCCTCTCCCACTCCACTAGCATGCTTTCTGCAAGAGGGTCTTTGCCTGTCTATGACTTTATCCCTTTGCGCTTAGTTAGAACAGCGCCTGGCACCTAACAGGTGCTCAGTTAGTTCTTGTCGAATGATTGCGTTCCCTCCAAATTTTCTTCTTGAATCTTTGGACCCTTCCTTAATTTTTTTTTTCCGGTCTTACCCACCTCCCATCCCGCCCTGTGCAAAGCTATAACTCCCCGCCCCTTCCCGGTTGTTCCAGGACTTCCCCGCTCCCCGCTTAAAGTGCGCGGCTCCTTTAAGCGGACTCGGGAACGCCGCGGGGAAGGCGGGGCCGAAGCCCATTCGTCGCCAACGTGGAGGGGCGGGGCTACGTGCTGCGTGCGTGCGCGTTCTGGAGGAGGCGCCGCCGCCGCTCCCGAGGCCGCCGCTGCCGTCGCCGCGCAGAGCCGGAGCAGGAGCCACGGGCGAGAGGAGGGAGGAGGAGGAGGAGGAGGAGGAGGAGGAGGTGGAGGAGGTGCCGGACCAGGGGGGTGAGTGAGGGGCGGGGAGCCCTAGACTGCCCCAGAGGGAGCGGGGGGCGCGGGTCGGCGGAGCCGATGGTGGGTCGGCGGAGCCGATGGTGAGGCGGCTCCTGTCGCTGGTCAGTCGCCTGGCTCCCCCTTCCTCCTCCGCGTTCCGTCGGTGTCCGGGGCGGCGGCCCGGGGGCCTGGCCGGCGGGAGGGGCCGGAGATCAGGGAGGCCCGGCCACTGCCAGGGCCAGAGCCAACCACGCCCGCGGACCGACCCGGTCGACTGTAGGCCTGCGGGAGATCGTCGGGAGGGGCCCCGGCCGGCTGCGGGAGAGAAAGAGGACATTGTGTCCCCCACCCTTCAACTCCCCGAGGTGTCATAGCACAAGCCCGTTTCCCTTGCCGTCTCCCCAGACTCGGTGCCCTCGCCCATCACTGCCTGAGAGACTTAGAAGGTTGGACATCGCTGCCTTCCTCCTCTTGCATGTCCCCTGTCTGGGGTCAGAGCTTCCTTCCAACCCACCTCTCCCTTTCGGCGGGGCACACGGGGAGGGGGTTGAAAGGTTGGGTGAATTCTCTGTCCTCTGTCCTCTGCTGTAGAAGTGCGGACAGGTTGGAGCGTTGCTATGTCCGTGTTCACTTCTGTCAGGGTTCAGGGTCTCCTTTTCCTTCCTTTATTCCCCCAGTGAATAGGGCTGACATCTCTACCTCCCACTCCACCTTCCAGCCCCTTTCCCGCCTTCTTTACCCCCAGGTCTTCCGTAGCTTACCATGTGTTCGCCTTTTCAGTGTTACTTTTCATGGGTCTCTGCTTCTTCCCTGAATTTTGTTAGGGAAGAGGTCACAGTGTGATTCTTCTAATCTTTCAAACTAACGTTGGTAAGAGCATCTCTTGCCCCCCCCTTACTCAGGAAGTTAAGGACAGTGTCTTCAGCGGAATTGTGTAATTTACTGCTACGGGGAGAAGATGAGAGGAAGACATTTGTGCCTGCAAAATGGGATCTCCTCACAGGGCTGAGATCCAGAGTTTAGGGAACCTTTGACCTCTGGGAAAAAGAACTACTGTTGAGAAGTAATGCGTTCTGTTTCGGGAGGGAGAATCATTTTGTTCCTTATTTGAAGGTAGGAGGCATAGAAAGTGAAATAGAATAATAGAGCAGAAGGTGATTGGGCCACAGCCCTACAGGTAGCCACTCTTTTCTCCTTCTTAGGTGGTGGATGATGGTTTTGTTACTACAGTAAGATTATAGAGTCTCAGCTTTTAGATTTAACTTGGGGCTCCTACCTTCAAAAGCGTGAAGGGCTGTCTCAGAAGAGATGTTGCTGGAAACAGGATTTGGAAACTTTCTTTGGGTTTCCTGTCAGAATGTGTGGGGGTGGACATGCCTATGTGTAGTTTTTCTTTACTTGTGATGTAATTTATTTCTGTGATACTTTGACATAATAAGCATTAAATTAGGCCCCAGACTTTCTGTCTTTATTATTCGTTCCTGTACCATTTTTGTTTTGAAATTATATAGTTTGATATTCTTTTGTAGATATTTCAGGGGCTCTCGTCTAATTTCCTGGGTGTTTAAATTATGGTCTACCTCAGATATTATCAGCTGTAAGGTATTGAGGATCATACATGTTCAGTATTTGTTGAATGAATCGAATGATTACCAAGATGAGTCTAGGTGTTAAATCTTCTGTCCTTTTGAGAAGTACCCTATATTAGGATATTGCAGTCCACTTCCAGATTGTAAAACAGTAATTCTTAACCTTTTCTAGGCCACTGACACCTTTGAGAATATGATGAAATATATAAACTCTCTCCTCAGAAAAAAGTTAATAGGCATTTATTCACAAAATTTTGCATTAGTGTTAGGGACCCTCTGAGGCCAACCATAAGCATCTGTCTTAAAAGTGAACTGGATGGAATCCCTGAGTGTTGCTCAGTTCATATTAAAACAGCTCAAAAGCCTTGTTCACTTTTTGTATGGCCTCAGGAAGGACAGTATCTATACTTAATATACCCCAGAAGTTAAGTATATTGGTATACGTTGACCCTGTAGTCCTTCTGGAAATGAATCCCCAAGGAAATATTCCAAGAGAAAGAAAATGTTGTATATGCACATGTTCATTTAATTATTTTAATAGATGGGAAGAAAAGGAAACTATATGTCCAACAGCATAAAGATACACAATTTTGCAATCACTGAAAAAGGTTAGAATTGAAGATTAATAATCTCCTAATTGATCTTCTAGCTTCCACTCTTGCCCCTCCACCCCAAACTGATTTCCACACAGCAGCTACAATGATGCTCACAAACTTATAGTCAGAGCAAGTCTTTCTTCTGTTCACAACTGTCCAGTGTTTTCTCATCTCATTCACAGTGAAATCCGAAGTTCTTACCGTGGCATACAAGCCTTCCAGCAGCCCAGCTGTTTCTATAATCTCAAGTCCCTTTACTTTTGCTCTTGCTTACTGTACTCCAGCCACACTGGCCTCCTAGTTCTCAAAAAGGTCAAATACACTCAGGTGTCTGCACTTGCTGCCTTCTCTGTCTATAACCTTTTTCCCCAAGGCAGTATACATCCCTAACTTCCTTCACGTCACTGCACCGGTCTCAGGTCTTCCCTTACTACCCTTCCCTGCCACTGTTTCTATCCCCATCACCTTACTCTTAAGACTCGGTTAGCTGGGCGCGGTGGCTCAAGCCTGTAATCCCAGCACTTTGGGAGGCTGAGGCGGGTGGATCACGAGGTCGAGAGATCGAGACCATCCTGGTCAACATGGTGAAACCCCGTCTCTACTAAAGATACAAAAAATTAGCTGGGTATGGTGGCACGTGCCTGTAATCCCAGCTACTCAGGAGGCTGAGGCAGGAGAATTGCCTGAGCCCAGGAGGCGGAGGTTGCGGTGAGCCCAGATCGCGCCATTGCACTCCAGCCTGGGTAACAAGAGCGAAACTCCGTCTCAAAAAAAAAAAAAAAAAAAAAAAAAGACTCGGTTATACTGATCTTGACAGCCACGATTGTTGGTAAACATTTCATGGTAATGTCATTTTTACACTTGCATTGGACATTATTATTTAACATTTAAAAAATAATGTCAGCCATAAAAAGAGATCTTTCAGATTGTTAGGTTGAATTTTTCAATAGCTCACATTTAAAGTTTGGATATTAGCTTACCTCTCTTCAACATTCAACAACAGGGTGCTAATTGTTGGATACAGAGATGAATTAGAGTCTCTGCCCTTGTCTGTTATGATTTGTATTGTAATACGTAAGTCATTCTAGACCTTGTGAGTGTTTACTGTTACCCGTGAACTTTAGTGTATGGTTGATGATCTTTAATATAAAATAGGGATTAGACATCCAAATGTTCATGTGGTAATTGCTTTTTATCCTTACAAAGGGATATTTTTAAAAATAAAAAAAAGTTTTTTTGAGAGGGAGTCTTGCTCTGTCACCCAGCCTGAAGCGCAATGGTGCAGTCTTGGCTCACTGCAACCTCTGCCTCCTGGGTTCAAGCGATTCTCCTGCCTCAGCTTTTTGAGTAGCTGGGATAACACATGTCCACCACCATGCCCAGCCAATTTTTTAAAATTTATTTTATATATATATAAAGAGATGGGGTTTCTCCCTGTTGGCCAGGCTGGTCTCGAACTCCTGACCTCAGGTGATCCGTTCACCTCCGCCTCAAAGTGCTGAGATTACAGGTGAGAGCCACTGCGCCCGGCCTACCAATTTTTTTTTTTTTTTTTTTTTTTTTAATTTTTAGTAGAGATGGGGTTTGACCATGTTGACCAGGCTGACCTCGAACTCCTGACCTCAAGTGATCTAACCACCTTGGCCTCCCAAAGTGCTGGTATTACAGGCATGAGCCACTGTGCACATCAACAAAGGGATTTTTAGTGGTTATCTGTAATTCATTTAATTTCTGTTTTGTATGATGTTTTTAGAATTTCATAGCTGTGACAGCCCCATGTTTTGTTCTTTGCAGTAAATTATATAGGTACTTAGTTGAAGACTCACAGTTGATTTTTAATTGTAATTCTTTATAGTTGTTCAAAAAAAAAGACTATTGTTTTTGTTAAATAGGTTAACATTGCATCTTTGAAATTTTACTTGGTTTATAGGGGATGATGATACGAGTCTGTTTTGATAGAAAATTATACCACTGAGGGCTTTGCCCAGAATTTCTGGTTCTGGAATCTAGGTGGCTTGATTTGGCATAGGTGGGGAGCTTTGACATCTATACAAAGGAGTGGGTTAAACCACTTGAGTTCCTTGAAAGCACCTTGCTGTGTTTCTGACGTGATAGGGACACTGTAAATGTTCATTGAACCTCAGATAATTTCTAATCTCCTGATTCTAAAATTCTCTTATTTTATATGGTCAAAAATAACTAATGTAAAGCATTTATATTTTAATATTGGTATACATTTGAAATTGTGAATGTAAGTTTACTTGTTCATAATGTCCCTTTTCAAATTAATTGGGTATAATAATTAATTGATTAGGCCTAATTAGTTGTAAGAAGAGTTACAGCATATTTCCAAGTGTTTATTGCTTATTCTGATGTCATTTAATTGCGTTACTTAATGCCAGATCATATCTTAAGAAGATTAGCATTAAACAAAAATATTTAAGCTTTAGGCCGGGCGCGGTGGCTCAAGCTTGTAATCCCAGCACTTTGGGAGGCCGAGGCGGGTGGATCTCGAGAGATCGAGACCATCCTGGTCAACATGGTGAAACCCCGTCTCTACTAAAAATACAAAAAAATTAGCTGGGCATGGTGGCGCCTGCCTGTAATCCCAGCTACTCAGGAGGCTGAGGCAGGAGAATTGCCTGAACCCAGGAGGCGGAGGTTGCGGTGAGCCGAGATCGCGCCATTGCACTCCAGCCTGGGTAACGAGAGTGAAACTCCATCTCAAAAAAAAAAAAAAAAAAAAAAAAAAATTTAAGCTTTAGTATTTTACTGAGACTGATGAAGTGTCCATTTTTTCTTTAATCATGTACATGAAGTTTGGGGATTATAAGCAGCAGTTTTAGGCTGGGCATGGTGGCTCACGCCTGTAATCCAGCCCTTGGGAGGCTGAGGCGGGTAGATTATGAGGTCAGGAGTTCAAGACCAGCCTGACCAAGATGGTGAAACCCCGTCTCTACTAAAAACTACAAAATATTAGCCAGGCAAAGTGGCAGGCACCTGTAATCTCAGTTGCTCAGTAGACTGAGAGAGGAGAATCGCTTGAACCTGGGAGGCAGAGGTTGTAGTGAGCTCAGATTGCACCATTGCACTCAGTCTGCACGACTCAGCGAGACTCGGGTGTCTCAAAAAAAAGAAAAAAAAAAAAAAGCAGTAGTTTTTATGTGCTTTTCAGTTTTTCATATACAAAGATAATGTTAATATTAGCTCACTTACATTTTGAAACTTTTGTACTAGTGGTATAGCTTCGTACTGCATAAT